GTCCAAGTCAAGCCTATCATGGAACAACATTCTCTATGTTTTTGCAACAGCATTTTTGTTGCTGTTTAGCTCCTACCTGTTTTGCTTGGTCCCAGCAAACAGCATTCCAGTGACTTGCTTGAGGTTTTTGAGAATCTTATTAACAAGTAAGAACTAATCCAATAGAACTAAAATAATTCAGTGCTTGGTAGTGGACACACTAATTGGTTTCTCCACGTAGAATACCCATCCCTAGCTAGAGACTGTGGAAGACAGAGACACGAACTTCTCTGCTGTCACCAAGTAAAATATTAGGAAATTTATAAGATGAAGTGTTGATACAGGAAGAAGCAGATGCACACAAGGTGGTCTCATCTGATGTGTCTTCTTAGGTGCTGAGCACTATGGTTATTTGTCAGAGAATGACTTTTTCTACTGTCTCCTAGAGGAAAAAAACAATATTCTACAGTGCAGCTGGCAGGAGGAAAGTGTTAGTTTCCTTCTAATTAATGAAATAACTCTGCTCTGTTAGCTTTACGATAGCCTCCTGCCTCCTAAAGCAAGGAAAGTTTCTGGTTAGGATGGTGGATATATACTCGATTACAGCAGCATATACCAAAGGCAACTTTCTGGCTCTTGATTCTCCTTTCAGGGTTGACTAGAATCAGCCACCATTTTTTTTTGAGTTGAGATAAATACCATCACGAGATCTAAGCTGGGAGGGGAACAAAACAGTAGCTAGGAGAACAGGACAACTATCGGCTACATTTGCAATTCAAGTAATTTCTTTTTTTTTTTTTTACAAAAACCTTTTCAAAGAAAATCTAAACCACAAATCATAAGCACCTTGAACCCTGTATCAATATGAAATAAGCTTCCTCTTGGTCATATGGCAGGAGACCTCAACTGCACGTAGCTCACTCAGTCTTACTTTTAGGTACCCTGCTGACGAAACTTCCAAAACCAGTGCCTTATTCTCTAGTCCAAAGAGAAAAGGTGCTTACATCTAAGGCAAAAGGCACCTCAGAGGGCTGAGGGCTGCTGTACGTGCCACTGCCACTTTCCCTCATCACAGCTGTTGCTTGTATTGCAGCATTTTCCACATTGCCTGTTCTGTTTTAACACAAACTGTAACGTCATTGACTAACAGGTAAGAAAGACACAGACTGTCTGGGTGGGGATTTCAGAGCAGAGAAGGGAAATTAAAAATGCAAAATAGAAAAGCAGATGGCATAGGCTTCATTAAAATAATATCTTGTCTCCTGGGAATCCCAGCAGGATCTGTTGCCTTCCGGTAGACACAGTGCCCCTGAGAGTTACACTTGGAGATTATTCTGTTCCTCCCTCTCTCCTTATCATAACTCTCTTCTGTTTTCAAAGGCTTGTGGTATGTGCTCCATCTGGATATGACTCCTAATAAGGATGTGCTGGAGACATCTCCTAAGCACTAATGTACACCCAGCCCCCAACCCATGCTGTCAGGAGTCTCCTTATCAATGATTTGAAAGAAAGAAAGAAGCATGGCTGAATCTGGCAGCTCCTGACAGAATGACAAAGGGGGGGTGTTGGAAAAATAAGAAATACATAATTAATACAGATACAGTATCAGTAAGGTTTAAAATTTTGAGCCACATGAACTGGGAGATGATTTCCCCTTGGTGTAACGTTCTATTTTTGATGTGGCCCTAAGCAGCAAGCTGTGTGTTTCACTGTTCCACTTAGAAACCAGGTGTAACTCACTAGAAATATAAAACAACCGTTAAGTTTTGCCTGTATCTAACTGACCCTCCAAGCAAACATGTGGCCAAGTGTGTTTACTTAGAGGGGGAGAAACAACCAAGCAGCAGGGTAAATCTGCCTTCAGTGTGTGCAGTACATCACACTTTTTCGGTCACGCTTCAATCGCTGCAGTGTCTGGAAGCAAAAGTTGTGTTCATGCTGGGTTGGTATTTAACTGAGCTCACTTGACCCAAACTTAAAGCAAGCACGTGTGATGCAGATTTATATGTGAATCTTCACAAACTGAAAAATGACATTTATCAACCATCCACCAAAACAATTGACATTTGAACAATTGATTCTGATTTTACAGTGAAAAATGCCACTATTCATACGGAAAGCCTGCAACAGGATTAAAACCCTAGTTGCTAACATCCCCAACAATGGCTCTGCCAGTTAAACTCTTTCTTAAACATTTATGTACTACCATAATTTTTCTAGCCTTAAAGAGATTAAAACCAATCCAAACCCTGACAAGTTTAAAGCAGAAGAGGCAAAAAAATCTAGTTGGAGGAATGGGGGCCAGAGCTGGGAGATACAGTGATTAAGCTGCTTGAAAATTGTAAAGGCTGGGACGATATTAAGAATAAAAGCAGCAGGAGCTGGTGTGGATTAAAGGCATATTACACTGCCGACATACAGTACTGTCAGTCTCATTTTGGCTCAGATAACCCAGAGCTCATTTTGGGATGGCTGAGAGTAGAGAGTTGGTCCAAATGCCAGTAGACATGTGTTCACCTAATTAAAGAGGCACTCCGTTTCCACAGGCAGAGATGTTGGAGCAGACTTCTTTCTGCAGACATGGCAGGAAGATGCTTACCAGCCTTTCAAGACAATCCTTCTTAGGCAGGTAGGTTTCAACCACTATTATCTTTATAACCACACTGTGGTCAGCACTGAGTTCGCTGGGCAGAAGCACCAGTTGGAAAGGAGATCCTGGCAATGGTATGCCTCTATCTACTGCAACTCTTCCTATACATCCCTTTGCCTCTCTACTTCAGGCTGTTCAGCACTGGCTAAATAAAGTAGAATTTTCCCTATATGAAAAAGCAGAAGCTCTGGCAGAAAGCCTAGTCATTGACTTGTGTGTGACCCATGGAAAAAAGCTCTTCAAGTTCCCCAGAAATGTGACTACGGCCTATTTTCGTGTATTAGTCCATTTCAATAATTACTAACCTTCCAGTCAGCTAAAGTAAGCACCTCCAGTTATTAAATTCCAGTTTATAGAAGATTGAGTCTCTCCTATTTTTCTCATTTCTATTATTCCAGTTTTCATGTTTTTTCTCTGTCCTATTTCTCAGTCTTTATTGTACTTTTGCCTCCCAAATACACTCTGACTACATTTTCTTTGCCTGCTTTTACATAAAAGTCATCAATAACCATATAAATAATGACAGTTATAGAACTCCATTAGTAATGTACTTTCTTCTGATACTTTCTCCTTCAACACTATCTGATGTGTTTTGACTTCCAGAGTTTCTCATTCCACTGGCTTTGTTCAGAATACTGAGTTTTCTATTTCATTTAATTTGTATGAATTGAACTTGTTTATCCTGAATCCAAATCTCTTTTCCATGATCAGATCTCCTATGATGTTCTCAGGACTTACCAAAGCCAAGTCTAAAAAAGCACCATTTCCTATCAGGTTAATGAATCTCCAGAGGATATTTTTATTGCCTAGAAAAGCAAGAATATCTCAGACTTACCAATAAAAGCATTAACTGCTCTCTAACCTGTTTCCTGATGTTAAATTCTCCAAAACAACCACTGCAGTAGTAATTATCTCTCTACAGCACTCCTGGCAGTGAAAAAGGATCCTGGTGGTATATGGCACTCTGGCAGTGATAATCTTTTACCAAACTATGCGTTGTGCCATCATTAACACACCCTGCTGCTCCCTGCCTTTCCCTGAAAAGCAGTCACTGTTTTCAGAATATTTATGACTGTGACTGCAGGAGTGATCTACTGCCCCAATCCACTTGCTCATATCCTGTATCTGTAGGTCTAGGCCCTCCACTTTGCTGCACAATCTTGCTGTATTTGTATACCCAACTTGCTGTCATCCCCTTCCTAGTCACTCTTTCAGGGAAATCTTGCCTGTTCAACTACTTTATTTTAATTTACTCTCTCTGGGTAGTTACATTCTTTTCTTCACTGCTATGACCAATTTACCACATGCTCAGGTGGAGCCCTGAGACTTCACAAGGCTTCCCAGCCTTTTTCTGGTGTTTCTTTAAGGTTCCTCTTATAAATGAGACTAACACTGGTTTTGCAGAAGTACTGCAGGTCCTTGGGTAAATCTATCTATCACGAACATATCTTCATAGTCTTACACCAATGCCTAAACTTTCCCAAACCTTCTTCAAACTTTAGTTGTCTGCTGACCTTCTCTATCACTCATTTGGCAGGGGCCAGAGCTACTCCACTTCCATGGAGGCTCACACTTCTTTCAAAGCCTTCCCAACATGGCATAGGCACCTTCAATCAGCTCCAGCAGCATTCTCTCAATGTCATTTGCACTGCTGTGAAGGATAACCAGGGCACTGCTTCCTGTTCCTACTGGGAAATTTTCCACACTTAAGATTCCCATTTTTTAGCATGCTGTTCCCTTGACTTGTTTGTCATCAGGTTCTTGAGGCTGTGTAGCAAAACAGTGGCTCAGGTTTTGGAGGTGGAACAACCATGTGTAGATTGTCGTCCTCTTATAAGGAAGCAAGGCTATTGTGCTAACTGAATAACTCTGCTTCCAGAACTTCAAAAATATTGCTCAGAAATAGCATGAGTATTTGTATGAGAACCTTTACAGACCTAAAAGCTCTCCATCTCACAGTAACACAGCTCCATCTTTTCCAGGTAGTATGTGGATTCTCTGATCCTTTCCTTTTTGTTTGCAACTATTCTGCCTTCTCTTCTTTTTACAGTCCCTCTACATTACCTTCATTCTTTATCTGGCCAAGCCTTGATCTTAGCTTGATAAAAGAATTGCAGGTTTAAAAAAGCTGTGCCTTTCTCTCAAGGCACAGCTTCCTTCCTCCACCACATCCCCAGATACTGGGTCTTTACGTTTGTAGGTCAGTTCCCTCAGCAGCAGAATCACAATGATAAAGCTGCTCTGTGAGCTGTTTGAGCCAAGCTGGCATGCTCAGCCACACGCATGGAGATCTGCATATGACCACACAGGCATCTCACCGTATTTCAGACCTTGGATTCAGCCTTTTCACTCCCCATCAGCAAAAACTTACCTAATTTCACTTGAAGTGGGGATGGCTTATAGTTCATGGCTACAGTCTCTCCCTCTCTCGTGTCACAATCTCTGTCCGAAATTGCTGCAGCTGTTGGATCCTGTTAAGAAAGAAAAGGAAACAAAACAGAATGGCTTAGCTGAAAGTTCTGCAGCCTCTTCTCTAACTAGTTGTTAGGCGAGTCCACCCCATTTGCATTCAAAGGGAGTTGAGAACATGCCAGTGTTTTGAGTGGCTGAAACCCAGGGGCAAAACACAGAACTCTGGAAGCACATTTAGTATGCTAAAAGTACCTCTGGAAATGCCAGGTTTCAACATCAGACTTACATGATGGATGATACTGGGAATATAATGTGGATGGTGGGTCACCAGTTCAAATCCAGCCTGGCTGGCAGTACTCCCAAATAATTTTCATGTGATGACTCCCTGGGGTGTTGTAGGAAACACATTTACAGTTTCAGCTGAATTCCAAGTGGACCAGTCAACCTCAAGCTTAAAACTAAAAAGTTTGAGACCAGGTCTGTGTGAAAGTCCAGCTCACAAGTAATGAAGGCTGTATAAGTAGGAGAATTCAATTTCCAGTCCCTCTTGGGACCTATTTTGTGGCTGACTGGAAAGATTTCAGTATCTGTCAGCACAGCATCTTTCACTGTCACTGAAATCCCCCCCAAAAACCAGATCTGCCCAAACACAGAGTCTGTTCCATGATGCCTAATGGCAGACAACACATGTTGAACTCTGTGGTAGAGCACATCAAAGAACTCAGAGAGAAACAAACTACCAATTCAGGCAGCTCTACCACTGCTAAAAATATCTGAAGTCCTTTCATAGCAAACTGCAAAACTGTTGGAACTATCTCTACGTAGCACTATAGTGAAAATTAAAATTGGTTTTCAAACATATTCCCTTATTCCCATCTAGAAGGTAGAAATTAAATTGAACATGCACATATATGTGTATGTAAATTTGGGTTTATAATAGGTAGAACTGCACATGCAAAACAAACATTCAACATTAGGCCCAATCTGAATAAACTATCACCTTGTAAGAAACTGAACAAGGCATCAAAAATCAAATACTAGAAAACACAGTTCCAAACTGGTGAACTCAATTTCCTTTGCACTACCCAGTAGACTTTGACAGTGCTTAAAATGGAGGGGGCTTACAAGACCTTGCATTCAGTGAAAAGGCTCAACCATATACAGCTTCTCCTGCTTTCCTCCAATGCTGCATTGTTCTTCTGATGCAGCAGTTTCATGACTAGTTCAAATGGTAAGAATAGGTCGCAAACCAAAAAGCCAGATTCCATGAGAACCAGAATTAGACATAAATCATAGAATCACATGCATTTCAGTTTAAAAATCCTACTTTAATAACCACACTTTATGACAAAATGGCAAAAAATACAGCAGCTGAAATTAAATGAAGCTAAAAGTGGTACTTAGAAACAATCCCAACTTTACAAATGAAAATGATGAGCTGTAGCTATCTATGGACACTCAAGGAAGAGATCTGGGATGACAGGTTGCATCAGATGACCAGTTAGACAGACCAGGACTTTTCAGCCAGGGAGAGATAACAGACAAGGGCTCTGAGAGATGTCAAAATAATCAAAATAATCCTGAGTGGGGTGAGAAGGTGAATTGGGATCAGCTAGCCCTTATATTCTACAAGCATGAGATATCAAGTGGCAGTTAACAAGCAGCAGCTGCAAAAAAGGGGAAACAGAGGGGCAAGTCACTCTCATGACCAGGAACAGGACCCGAGGGAATGTCAGGGAGCTGTGTCAGGGGACATTTAGATTGGATATCAGAAAAAGGTTTTTCACTCAGAGGGGGAATGGGCACTGGAACAGGCTCCCCAGGAAAGTGGTCACAGCACCAAGCCTGACAGCACCCAAGATCCATAGATACCTGTGGTTGACAGGAATGACAAAAGTCAAGATGGCCCAGAAAACCTTAGAAAGTTCTATTAGTAAATTAAACATGCAGCATGGAAATGGGTATGTGAATCCCTGACCTCCAACAAGCACTTGGCAGTGGGTTTTGGATAAAGGGTAGGGTGGAAGGGATGAGAGAAAAAGACAGAGATGAATTAAAGAGGGGAAGAGAGAAAGAAAGGAAGAAAAAGAGAAAGAGAGATCACCAGTCCTGGCTCCAGTGCTGATCCAGCTGATGGGGTGTCCAGGGTCCTGGGGCGCACTTGCACATGGGCTTTGTGGGGGGACCTGCTTATGGATAAGTTTACCCTGCCCTGGAGGTAAGTTTCTGACTTTCTCTCAAAATTAGTTCTCATGCACAGTCTATTCTTCCAGACCTTTCAGGAAATGGGTTGGAGGCTTCAGGGGTCTTTGGTGGTCTTGATATCCCACTGCAGCCTTTGCCTGTGCTTGTGCTGTGCTGTGCTTATCTCCAGGAGCCAGAGCAAGGATGTTTGTCCTGGAAAAGTGCTGCCCTACCTCCACACGGCCCCTTTCCAGCCACATCCTGTTCGTTCTTACAGTGTATTATCACTAACAATCCCTGGCTGTTACTACCAACAATCCTTGCTTGGCTCCACAGCCATCCAGCTATCAGTGTTTGAGACATAACATATTAGTCTCCTTACCTTCTGGGCTTCTACACATGGGAATGGCCAAGTAGCACAAAGGACATGTCAGACATAGTAGAAACTCTCCAAGAAGGATGTGTAAGATGTTAAGTGGTACCACTTAAGTCCAGGCTTCTTGCAGGAGAATCTTTTCTCTGACAGCACAGGAAAAGGCAGGATATAGCTGTTTCTAAGGAGCATGGCTCCAAGAACTGGATGCTTTGTAGTGCTACTGAACACAACAAACAAGTCATTGGAGTCCTGGTCTGCTGGCTGCAGGAAGGCATGAGAGTAGACATATTATGATAAAGGACACAGTGTGATGGCCTCTTACCGTCTCCTGTGCTGGTGCAGTTCAGCAAAGAGTCAGCTGAGCTCACAGTCAGAAGTCCACAGAGCAGAGAAGGCGTCCTGGCCACCTGGACTAGCTCAGGTTCACATTGCTAAAATTATGCTTAAACCCTAAATCAAAACCAGCCTTTTTTTTTTTTTTTTTTTTTTTTTTTTGTGGCAAGCTGATGTGCTGACACTAGCTTTTCCTTTGTAGGTAACCTGACCATGACATTAGACTTCCATTTGCATGAAGAGAGGGAATGGAGAAATGTTCTAAGATGCCTCTGAAGAGTCGGACCAGAGGACTCAGCGGGAGCAATCTCAAATGGGCTCTAGACCAAAAACCAGAAAAGACTTCCTAGGTCTCCAGAGAAAACTAAGATGATTTTCAAAGAGTGATTAATACTTATCCTAAAAGGAGACAAATCCATCCTTGCAGATGTGTTTCCCTCTCCCCACTGATTACAGAGGAGTCCTGGCAGCTGGTGGAGCTTGCACCCCTGCCTCCAACACTGGAGATGGGAATGATGAAGGACATTGCAGTGGACTCCATAATAATGTGATTCAACACTAGGAATTCTTCTCCAAAGTCTGGAATGATGCTTTTCAGCCCTAGCAGCATAGCACCTTGACAGCCAACCTGCAGTGGAACATGTTACAGCTGCACAACAGACCCAGGACTTGCACACGCAGGGATCACAAAGCACAGGTCAGGCCCATTTCCTCCACAAAGTAAAATGGATTAGAGAGGAAACCAAGCTGGACGAGGCACAGCATCCCCGGTTCCAGCAGGCATCTATTCCCAGCCCAGGAGCGGCAAGGCACTGCCATATTTCCCATCCATCACTCCATACACGTTCTGCAGCAGCACACAGGACTCCATAGTAACAATGCCCACTGTGAAAACAGCAGCATTCCCACGGCAGCTCGGCTGGAGCTGTCTCTTTGCACGAACATGCTCTGCTTCTGTGCATACGGAATGGGTGCAGTTCCCTTTCTGTAGCTTATCCACCCAGAGAAACGTTTACTTGACTGATTAGCCTTTTGCTTGTGAATCCCTGTGAGCACACTGAGACTCACCACACGCTTTTGCTATTGGAATTCATTTGGCAGTTTTGTTCTTTTTCACAAGCCTCCCTAGACTAATGCACTCAGCTCTGACCCCGACGCCAAAATCTCAGCTACACAGCATGACTGGTCCCAGGACAGATGATGTGATTTCTTTTTGCTCACTGGGGAGAACACAACACTCCCAATCAAAAGGCAAGTGGCTGCAGGGGCTCTAGATGACTATGGGTATTTAATACATTTAAGGGATTTTTTTGTTCCTGAGGCCTCCTTGTGTCTTCATTCCTGAGGAAAAAATACATTCAATCAGGGCACTGCATGAACATTTGTTTGGGGCCAGAGTTTAATCAAAGTTTTTTTCCTCACATGCTCACAGCTTAATTGGGCAAGCACAATCACAGCATTCGAACGGTGGGGAGTTTTCTTACTAGTTTGTTTGTTTCTATAGGCTTGACACAACGGACCTTGAAAACTGCCCTCCTGCTGGGAGCAGCTATGTCCTACAGGGTGTGTACCACGAGCCGTTTCTGAATCAGAAATTAGTTCCAGGGAACCTCTGTGGGGCAGGAATGCTGTGAATCGCTGGTATGCAGGGGCACAGAGAGAAGCTGAAAATACTTTAAACTGAAATCTGATGGTTTAAGGAAGATGGCATGCTCAGCAGGCTTATTATTTTTTTCACTTTTGAATCACTGCTTTCCTTTTTTGCAGTACTTTAGAGATATAATATCTGCCTCAGTGCACCAGCTCAATAGCCTTTTACTCTTTATCACCTACCTCTCCCAGTAACCCACACCGACTACGGAGGGGAAATGGCAAAGTGTGCAGTTACACCATGATGGAGCTGGGCACTTAGTGCAAACTTCCACCCTTGTGGCACCTTGGAAAATGCAGCTTCCTTTGCCTTCCTGCATGGTCAACACTTGTTGGTGGGCACACACAGTCTCTGTGGGCTTCAGTTTCCCCTTAAAAACATAGCTGGAAAATGAAAAGTCTCTCTCTGCCCATCCTTCCCATTCTAAGAGTCATTTTTAACAGCTCTAAGAAAATGTACTCCACTCTGCTGTCTATGGGAAATTCTATGATCATCAAAGCAGCTCTGTTGCCTTT